CTTCGCTTCGCTTAGTTCCTCTTAGATTCGCTTAGCATCGCTTAGCTTTGCTTCGCTTCGCTTAGCTTCGCTTCGATTCACTTTCCTTAGCTTCGGTTCGCTTCTCTTCGCTTCGCTTCACTTCGCTTAGCTTCGCGTCGCTTCGCATAGCTTCGCTTCGCTTAGCTTAGCTTCGCATAGCTTCGCTTAACTTTGCTTTGCTTTGCTTAGCTTTGCTTCGCGTAGCTTCGCTTTGCTTCGCTTAGCTTCGCTTTGCTTCGCTTAGCTTCGCTTTGCTTCGCTTAGCTTCGCTTCGCTTCGCTTAGCTTCGCTTCTCTTAGCTTCGCTTCGCTTCGCTTAGCTTCGCTTGGCTTTGCTTCGCTTCGCTTGGCTTTGCTTTGCTTCGCTTTGCTTCGCTTAGCTTCTCTTAGCTTCGCTTTGCTTTGCTTTGCTTTGCTTCGCTTCGCTTAGCTTTGCTTCGCTTCACTTCCCTTAGCTTTGGTTCACATCCCTTAGCTTCGCTTCGCTTCGCTTAGCTTCGCTTAGCTTCGCTTCGCTTTGCATAACTTCGCTTAGCTTCATTTCGATTCCCTTATCTTCGCTTAGCTTCGCCTCGCTTAGCTTAGCTTCGCTTCGCTTCTCTTAGCTTCGCTTACGTTCGCTTAGCTTCACATCGCTTCTCTTCGCTTCAATTAGCTTCACTTAGCTTCGTGTTCGCTTCGCTTCGATTAGCTTCGCTTAGCTTCGTGTTCGCTTCCCTTAGCTTCGGATCGCTTCCCTTTGCTTCACTTAGCTTCGCTTAGCTTCGCTTCGCTTCGCATACGTGCGCTTAGTTTCGCTTTGCTTCTCTTAGCTTCTCTATGCTTTGCTTCGCTTCTCTTCGCTTTGCTTAGCTTCGCTTCGCTTCGCATAGCTTTGCTTAGATTCGCTTCGCTTAGCTTTGCTTTGCTTCGCGTAGCTTCGCTTCGCTTCGCATATCTTCGCTTCGCTTCTCTTAGCTTCGGTTCGCTTCTTTTCGCTTCTCTTCGCTTTGCTTCGCTTAGATTTGCTTCGCTTCGCTTAGCCTCGCTTTGCTTCCCTAAGCTTCGCTTCGCTTCGCTTAGCCTCGCTTCTCTTCGCCTAGCTTCGCTTCGATTCGCTTCGCTTCGCTTAGCTTCGCTTCGCTTCGCTACGCTTCGCTTCCCTTAGCTTCGCTTCGATTCCCTTAGCTTCGCTTCGCTTCGCTTAGCTTCGCTTAGCTTCGCTTCGCTTCGCATACCTGCGCTTAGATTTGCTTTGCTATTCTTAGCTTCGCTTCTTTTCGCTTCGCTTCTCTATGCTTCTCTCACTTCGCTTCGCGAAGCTTCCCTTCAATTCGCTTTGCTTCGCTTCGCTTCTCTTCGCTTCTCTTCGTTTCACTTCGCTTAGCTTCGCTTTGCTTCGCTTCGCTTAGCTTCGCTTCGCTTCACTTCGCTTCACTTCGCCTCGCTTCGCTTCTCTTAGCTTCGCTTAGCTTCACTTCGCTTCGCTTAGCTTTGCTTCTCTTAGCTTCGCTCAACTTCGCTTTGCTTTGCTTAGCTTCACTTTGCTTCGCTTAGCATCGCTTCGCTTCTCTTCGCTTAGCTTCACCTTGCTTCGCTTCGCTTCGCTTAGTTCCTCTTAGATTCGCTTAGCATCGCTTCGCTTCGCTTTGCTTCGCTTCGCTTAGCTTCGCTTCGATTCACTTTCCTTAGCTTCGGTTCGCTTCTCTTCGCTTCGCTTCACTTCGCTTAGCTTCGCGTCGCTTCGCATGGCTTCGCTTCGCTTAGCTAATCTTCGTATAGCTTCGCTTCGCTTAGCTAAGCTTCGCATAGCTTCGCTTAACTTTGCTTTGCTTCGCTTAGCTTTGCTTCGCTTAGCTTCGCTTCGCTTTGCTAAGCTTCGCTTCGCTTCGCTTAGCTTCGCTTCGCTTCGCTTGGCTTCGCTTCGCTTCGCTTGGCTTCGCTTTGCTTCGCTTATCTATGCTTGTCTTCGATTTGCTTCGCTTAGCTTCCCTTGACTTCGCTTTGCTTCGCTTAGCTTCGCTTCGCTTCTCTTTGCTTCTCTTCTCTTCTCTTCGCTTCGCTTCGCTTAACTTCGCTTTGCTTCGCTTCGCTTGGCTTCGCTTTGCTTAGCTACGCTTCGCTTCGCTTCTCTTAGCTTCGCGAAGCTTCACTTCGCTTCGCTTAGCTTCGCTTTGCCTCTCTTCGCTTATCTTCGCTTAGCTTTGATTAGCTTTGCTTCGCTTCGTTTTGCTTCGCATAGCTTCGCTTAGCTTTTCTGAGCTTCGTTTCGCTTCCCTTAGCTTCGGTTCGCTTCCCTTAGCTTCCCTTAGCTTCGCTTAGCTTCGCTGCGCTTCGCATAGCTGCGCTTAGCTTCGCTTTGCTTCTCTTAGCTTCGCTTCTCTTCGCTTCGCTTCTCTTTGCTTCGCTTCGCTTCGCTTCGCTTCGCTTAGCTTCGCTTCGCTTCGCTTCCCTTAGCTTCGGTTCGCTTCCCTTAGCTTCACTTCGCTTCGCTTCGCATAGCTGCGCTTATTTTCGTTTTGCTTCTTTTAGCTTCGCTTCTCTTCACTCCGCTTTTCTTTGCTTCTCTTCGCTTCGCTTCTCTTTGCTTTGCTTCTCTTTGCTTCTCTTCGCTTCGCTTCGCTTAGCTTCGCTTAGCTTCGCTTCGCTTCGCTTAGCTTCGCTGAGCTTTGCTTTGCTTCGCTTAGCTTTGCTTAGATTCACTTAGCTTCGCTTCGCTTCGCTTAGCTTCACTTCGCTTCGCTTAGCTTCGATTCTCTTAGCTTCGCTTAACTTCGCTTTGCTTTGCTTAGCTTCGCCTAGCATCGCTTCGCTTCTCTTCGCTTAGCTTCACCTAGCTTCGCTTCGCTTCGCTTAGTTCCTCTAAGATTCGCTTAGCATCGCTTCGCTTCGCTTAGCTTTGCTTCGCTTAGCTTAGCTTCGCTTCGATTCACTTTCCTTAGCTTCAGTTCGCTTCTCTTCGCTTCGCTTCACTTCGCTTAGCTTCGCGTCGCTTCACATAGCTTCGCTTCGCTTAGCTAAGCTTCGCATAGCTTCGCTTAATTTTGCTTTGCTTCGCTTAGCTTTGCTTCGCTTAGCTTCGCTTAGCTTCGCTTCGCTTCGCTTAGCTTCTCCTAGCTTCGCTTGGCTTGGCTTCGCTTCGCTTGGCTTCGCTTTGCTTCGCTTATCTTCGCTTAGCTTCTCTTTGCTTCGCTTCGCTTTGCTTTGCTTCGCTTGGCTTTGCTTTGCTTCGCTTCGCTTTGCTTAGCTTCTCTTAGCTTCGCTTCGCTTTGCTTTGCTTCTCTTCGCTTCGCTTCGCTTAGCTTCGCTACGCTTCACTTAGCTTCGCTTAGCTTCGCTTCCCTTCGCTTAGCTTCACTTCGCTTCGCTTAGCTTCGCTTCACTTAGCTTCTCTTAACTTCGCTTTGCTTTGCTTAGCTTCGCTTTGAATAGCTTCGCTTAGCTTCGCTTTGCCTCGCTTAGCTTCGCTTGGCTTCGCTTTGCTTCGCGTAGCTTCGCTTAGCTTCTCTTAGCTTCGCTTCGCTTTGCTTAGCTTCGCTTTGCTTCGCTTCGCTTCGCTTAGCATTGCTTCGCTTCACTTCCCTTAGCTTTGGTTCACTTCCCTTAGCTTCGCTTCGCTTCGCTTAGCTTCGCTTCGCTTTGCATAACTTCGATTAGCTTCGTTTCGATTCCCTTAGCTTCGCTTAGCTTCGCCTCGCTTCGCTTAGCTTCGCTTCGCTTCTCTTAGCTTCGCTTACGTTCGCTTCGCTTCGCTTAGCTTCACTTCGCTTCTCTTCGCTGCTTTTAGCTTCGCTTAGCTTCATGTTCGCTTTGCTTAGCTTCTCTTCACTTCGCTTCACTTAGCTTCGCTTAGCTTCATGTTCGCTTCGCTTAGCTTTGCTTCGATTAGCTTCGCTTCGCTTCGCTTAGCTTCCTGTTTGCTTCGTTTCACTTTGCTTCACTTAGCTTCGCTTAGCTTCACTTCGCTTAGCTTCGCCTAGCTTCCCTTTGCTTCGCTTAGCTTCGCTTCGCTTCGCTTAGCTTCGCTTCGCTTCGCTTAGCTTCGTTTCGCTTCGCTTCCCTTAGCTTCGATTCGCTTCCCATAGCTTCGCTTCGCTTCGCTTAGCTTCGCTTAGCTTATCTTCGCTTAGCATACCTGCGCTTAGCTTCGCTTTGCTTCTCATAGCTTCGCTTCTTTTCGCTTCACTTCTCTATACTTCTCTTCGCTTCGCTTAGCTTCGCTTAGCTTCGCTTCGCTTCGCTTAGCTTCGCTTAGCTTCGCTTCGCTTCGCTTAGCTTCGCTTAGCTTCGCTTCGCTTCGCTTAGCTTCGCTTCGCTTCGCTTAGCTTCTCTTAGCTTTGCTTAGCTTCGCTTAGCTTTGCTTTGCTCCGCTTCTCTTCTCTTCGCTTCGCTTCGCTTAGCTTCGCTTAGCTTCGCTTCGCTTCGCATAGCTTCGCTTTGCTTCTCTTAGCTTCGCTTCTCTTAGCTTCGCTTAGCTTCGCTTCTCTTCTCTTCGCTTCTTTTAGCTTCGCTTAGCTTCGTGTTCGCTTCGCTTAGCTTCACTTCGATTAGCTTCGCTTAGCTTCATGTTCGCTTCGCTTAGCTTCTCTTCACTTTGCTTCGCTTAGCTTCGCTTAGCTTCGCTTAGCTTCGTGTTTGCTTCGCTTAGTTCCGCTTCGACTAGCTTCGCTTCGCTTCGCTTAGCTTCTGTTCGGATTAAGGACAGAGTCTAGGTGAACTTAGGAGCTAGAATTACTCAAAATATAAATCCGAAATTCTGGACAGAAAAGTCGTCTTCACAAGAAACGACGTCGACAAAACACTAGCCGTTGGAATGTCGCGAAACTTGGATATGTTGTAGCTCTTGATCTCAGCTACCGTTCCCAATTTGAATCACGTTGATTGATGAAGTATTCGCGACGCTATGGCTTTCGACGCACTAGGGGGTAAGCTGTAGGAGGAGAACTTAACTCAATCTCAAGAGTTCAATCAAAGTTCAAGAATCTCACAAGGAATTTGAGGAGCAAGAGAAAGGTTGGGATAGAAAGAGAGGGACGAGAGGGAAGGTCCCAAGAGAGTCCCCAACCAAGGAAACCCCATAAGCACAAAGATTCCCTCCCTATAGGAACCTCAACTTTGACCTTTGTCCCTTCCCAACCAATCCATCCAAGTTGGCCACCCTTGCCAACCTAGCTTGGTTGTTCCCAACCAATTTGCAGCTGTTACAGTAGAGTGACAAATTTCCCAAACCCCCAAAGGTCCCAACTCCATATAGAGTCACCCCACAACTTCACTTTGTAACCGCCGCAATTGTAACGCAAGCTCATGAACTTTGAATCTTCATAGCTTTCGCGTTCTTGCTCCGATTGAAGGGATTCTCGTTGCGTCGGAAAGATCTTCTCAAGATCTATCATCACAAAAAACCTGCTCAAACAAAATAACACAAAACACATTCCCAAACTCCAGAACACATCACACACAAATTCTTGCACACGTTCAAACCACACATGCAAGTTGAAAAAATATGGGATGGGAGGCAGACAGAATGTGATAGCATATGATGACATCACACAACAGCTTCTTGTTCGCTTCGCTTAGCCTCGCTTCGCCTAGCTTCGCTTCGCTTCGCTTAGGTTCGCTGAGCTTCTCTTAGCTTCGCTTCGCTTCTAATAGCTTTGCTTAGCTTCGCTTCACTTCGCATAGCTTCGCTTTGCTTCTCTTCGCTTCTCTTCGCTTCGCTTCGCTTAGCATCGCTTAGCTTCGCTTCGCTTTGCTTCGCTTCGCTTTGCTTCGCTTAGCTTCGCTTCGCTTAGCTTCGCTTCGCTTAGCTTCGCTTCGCTTCGCTTAGCTTCGCTTAGCTTCGTTTCGCTTCGCTTCACTTCGCTTAGCTTCGCTTCGCTTCGCTTAGCTTCGCTTAGCTTCTCTTTGCTTTGCTTAGCTTCGCTTAGCTTTGCTTTGCTTCGCTTCGCTTCTCTTCGCTTCGCTTCTCTTAGCTTCGCTTAGCTTCGCTTCCCTTCTCTTCGCTTCTTTAAGCTTCGCTTAGCTTCGTGGCTGCTTCGCTTAGCTTCGCTTCGATTAGCTTCGCTTAGCTTCATGTTCGCTTCGCTTAGCTTCTCTTCTCTTTGCTTCGCCTAGCTTCGCTTAGCTTCGCTTAGCTTCATGTTTGCTTCGCTTAGTTCCGCTTCGATTAGCTTCTCTTAGCTTCCTGTTCGCTTCGCTTAGCCTCGCTTCGCCTAGCTTCGCTTAGGTTCGCTGAGCTTGTCTTAGCTTCGCTTCACTTCTAATAGCTTCGCTTAGCTTCGCTTCACTTCGCATAGCTTCGCTTTGCTTCTCTTCGCTTCTCTTCGCTTCGCTTCGCTAAGCATCGCTTAGCTTCGCTTCGCTTCGCTTTGCTTCGCTTTGCTTCGCTTAGCTTCGCTTCGCTTAGCTTCGCTTCGCTTAGCTTCGCTTAGCTTCGCTTAGCTTCGCTTCGCTTCGCTTAGCTTCGCTTCACTTGGCTTAGCTTCGCTTCGCTTCGCATAGCTTAGCTTAAATTCGCTTCACTTAACTTCGCTTTGCCTCGCTTAGCTTCGCTTCGCTTCGCTTAGCTTCGCTTCGATTCGCTTAGCTTCGCTTTGCTTCGCCTAGCTTCGCTTTGCTTCGCTTGGCTTCGCTTCCCTTAGCTTCGGTTTGCTTCCCTTAGCTTCACTTCGCTTCGCTTAGCTTCGCTTCGCTTCGCATAGCTGCGCTTAGCTTCGTTTTGCTTCTCTTAGCTTCGCTTCTCTTTGCTACGCTTCTCTCTGCTTCTCTTTGCTTCGCTTTGCTTAGCTTCGCTTAGCTTCGCTTAGCTTCCCTTCGCTTCGCTTAGCTTTGCTTCGCTTTGCTTCGCTTAGCTTCGCTTCGCTTCCCTTAACTTTGCTTTGCTTCGCTTAGCTTCGCTTTGCTTGGCTTCGCTTCGCTTCGCTTCGCTTCGCATCGCTTCGCTTCGCTTCGCATCGCTTCGCTTCGCTTCTCTTCGCTTAGCTTCGCTTAGCTTCGCTTAGCTATGTTATAATCACAATAGGCTCACAATAGGGAGTGAAACCGATCGCCTCCAAGACTTTCCGCAGCTTGATGTACCATTGCCTAGGGGCTTGCTTGAGGCCATAGAGTGCTATCTTCAGCTTCCACACTCTGCCACTCCCATCATTGTACCCCTCTGGCTGCTCCATGTAGGTCTCTTCCTCCAAAACTCCGTTGAGGAAGGCCGTTACGATATCCATTTGCTTCACCACCCATCCTTTGATGGCCGCCGCGGCGAAGAGGGTTCGAAGGGTTGTACCCTTCACCACAGGAGCATATACTTCATTGTAGTCCTTCTTCTCCTGCTGCTGGTACCCCTTGGCTACAAGTCTGCTCTTGTAGCGCTCAATGTTGCCGTCGGCGTCGGTCTTGCGCTTGAAGAGCCACTTGGAAGAGATCGCCTTACGCCCCGGAGGTAGGTTCACCAAGTCAAACGTGTCGTTCTCGATGATGCTCCCCATCTCTTCATCTGAGGCCTTCTTCCACTCCTTCCCATTGGGGCCCTCCCAAGCCTCCTTGGGATTTGTAGGCTCCCCCGGTATCTCCACCGGAGAGAAGAAGGCAAAAGCGCACTCCTCGCTTTCATCTTCCGCTTCATCGCCTAGCATGAGAGCCGAACCGGTCAAGGTTGAGTTGGCTGGTCCTCCAAGCCGTTCATAGCTCAACCTATTGGGGGGCTGAGTCCTCCTTCTCCCCCTTCCTTCCTCCTCTACTGCAGGGACTTGGATGCTCTCATGGCGTTGCTGCAAATCTGCTCGGTTCCCGCGAGCACTTGTAGCACGAGGCGGAAGTGACGGTGTACGCTCATCACCTTGCTGCACCTCCTCCTCCTCTTCTCCCCCATTCATTTGAGGAGATTGCCTTGTGATAGTGCTGCTGCTACTCAGCTCCAAGGGCAGCTCCACATACTCCAAGCCGGTACTCTTCACCTCTCCAAGCCGCACACCAATCTTCGCTTGGTTCTACGCCTTCCCAACCCCAAAGGTCCCAACTCCATATTGAGTCACCCCACAACTTCACTTCGTAACCGCCGCAATTGTAACGCAAGCTCATGAACTTTGAATCTTCATAGCTTTCGCGTTCTTGCTCCGATTGAAGCGATTCTTGTTGTGTCGGAAAGATCTTCTCAAGATCTATCATCACAAATACCTGCTCAAACAAAATAACACAAAACACATTCCCAAACTCCAGAACACACACCACACAAATTCTTTCACACACAGTCACACCATACGTGCGAATTGAAAAAAGGGATGGGAGGCAGACAGAATGTGATAACATATGATGACATCACACAACAGAGAGCAGCCCATGCCTTTGGTCCCTTTGCTGGTTCACGCTGAAAAGGCTTGATGTGACGGATTTGGCTGCTCCCCAACGCTTGCCCAAGTAGAAGATAGCCTTGTGCGCTCTTCCGCACCCACGGGCTCTTCTCCGGGTCGTTCTCGGGGCGCTTCTCCGTTCCTTCCATCATCCGTTCTCGGATCATAGTGGTCAAAGATGTTCTCCATCTTCAAGGACCACTCAGCAAAGTTGTCACCGTTGAACTTGTCAAGGCCAAACACTCTAGGCTCATCCCTAGAGGGGCCAAGGCTAGGTTGCACGGGAGCCATGGGTGGATCTTGGTGTTGACCTTGTGCTTGGGCGTCTTCTCTGCCTCCAGCACCTCTGCCACCCCCTTCCTCAGGTCTAGGCATGGTCGAGACAGCTCCAAGGGGCTCTGATACCACTTGTTATAATCACAATAGGCTCAGATGTGCCTAAAATGAGTGAAAATGTGCACTGTCAGAATTCCATCAGCCAGATTCAAATATTGATGCCGATCTGATGTATGCCTTAAACGGTGATTTGTAAATTGGATCTGGAGCGCGTTGTTGTCGCCTATCAGCAGCAAGTTGAGTCATAAAATTCCATCACGATTTGACGACGCTATGGCGGTTTGACTGGCAGGAGGTACAGCAGCCACTATAGTCTTAGGAGTACAAAAAACTTAGGAAGAAGAATTCGAGAGGGAGATGGTTCCCAGCCTCTACATACCCCAAGAGCCGAGGTCCAGGTTGGTGGTACACCACCACAGAGTCCCCAACCACGAAGAGTCTCAAAACAAACCCTCCAAGGGGCTACACCAAGTGAAATGTAACACTACACGAAGTAGCGTAACTATTTTCACTATTTAATATTTATCCGCGTCCCTTGGGCTTGAAATCTTGAGCTCTTGGTCTTGGTTCTTCAAGATAAATTCTTCTTGAGTTGATGGGGGCTTGCTGCACACACCTGCGACGCGATGGACACTTCACACTTGACAAAATAGAAAAACACATGCGACACGCAAACGACGAGATGACATGCGAGTTGTAAAAACTCACTAATGTCTTGACCGACACACACCACATTGTGAGACACCATTCAAACACACACACAAGCACTAGATAGCAATGACATAGACTCACAAGTCATTCCATGCCATGCATGCACACACACAAACACGGACGACAAGCCGAGTGCAAGCCATAGGGTTGCACCAACAAGCTACGCTTAGATTTGCTTAGCTTCGCTTTGCTTTGCTTCGCTTCGCTTAGCTTAGCTTAGTTTTGCTTAGCTTTGCTTAGCTTCGCTTTGCTTAGCTTCGCTTAGTTTCGCTTTGCTTCGCTTCTCTTCGCTTAGCTTCACTTAGCTTCGCTTAGCTACGCTTAGATTCGCTTAGCTTCGCTTAGCCTTGCTTCGCTTCGCATAGCTGTGCTTAGCTTAGCTTCGCTTCGCTTCCCTTAGCTTCAGTTCGCTTCCCTTAGCTTCACTTCGCCTCGCTTAGCTTAGCTAAGCTTTGCTTCGCATCGCTTCGCTTAGCTTCGCTTCACTTCGCTTAGCTTAGCTTAGTTTCGCTTAGCTTCGTAGCTTCGCTTCGCTTAGCTTCGCTTAGATTCGCTTAGCTTCGCTTAGTTTCGCTTGGCTTCGCTTAGCTTCGCATAGCTTCGCTTTGCTTTGCTAAGCTTTGCCTAGCTTCACTTCGCTTCGCACAGCTTCGCTTTGCTTCGCTTAGCTTCGCTTAGCTTCGCTTCGCTTCGCTTCGCTTCGCTTCGCTTCGCTTCGCTTCGCTTCGCTTCGCTTCACTTTGCTTCGCTTTGCATCGCTTCGCTTAGCTTCCGTTCGCTTCCCTTAGCTTCGCTTCGCTTAGCTTTCCTTAGCTTTGCTTCGCTTTGCTTCGCTTCGCATACATGCGCTTAGCTTTGCTTTGCTTCGCTTAGCTTCGCTTCGCTTCCCTTAGCAATGCTTCGCTTAGCTTCGCTTCGCTTCGCTTTGCTTAGCTTAGCTTCGCTTAGCTTCGCTTCGCTTCGCATACCTGCGCTTTGCTTTGCTTTGCTTTTCTTAGCTTTGCTTCTTTTCGCTTTGCTTCTCTATGCTTCTCTTCGCTTCACTTCGCTTAGCTTCGCTTCCCTTTGCTTTGCTTCGCTTCGCTTCGCTTCTCTTAGCTTTGCTTAGCTACGCTTTGCTTAGCTTCGCTTTGCCTCTCTTCGCTTTTCTTCGCTTCGCTTCGCTTAGCATCGCTTAGCTTCGCATAGCTTTGCTTAGCTTCGCTTAGCTTCGCTTCGCTTCGCTTCGCTTCGCTTAGCTTCGCTTTGCTTTGCTTAGCTTCACTTTGCTTAGCTTCGCTTAACTTCGCTTAGCTTCACTTAGCTTCGTTTAGCTTCACTTGGCTTTGCTTCTCTTAGCTTCGCTTAGCTTCGCTTGGCTGCGCTTCGCTTCTCTTCGCTTCTCTTCGCTTCGCTTCGCTTAGCTACGCTTAGATTCGCTTAGCTTCGCTTAGCTTTGCTTCGCTTCGCTTAGCTTTGCTTTGCCTCTCTTTGCGTCTCTTTGCTTCGCTTCGCATAGCTTCGCTTCGCTTCGCTTTGCTTCGCTTTGCTTCGCTTCGCTTCGCTTAGCTTCGCTTAGATTCGCTTAGCTTCGCTTAGATTCGCTTCGCTTCGCTTCGCTTTGCTTCGCTTCGCTTCGCTTCCCTTAGCTTCGGTTCGCTTCCCTTAACTTCGCTTCGCTTAGCTTTCCTTTGCTTTGCTTCGCTTTGCTTCGCTTCGCATACCTGCGCTTAGCTTTGCTTTGCTTCGCTTAGCTTTGCTTCGCTTCCCTTAGCTTTGCTTCGCTTAGCTTCGCTTCGCTTCGCTTTGCTTCGCTTAGCTTCGCTTCGCTTAGCTTCGCTTAGCTTCGCTTCGCTTCGCATACCTGCGCTTAGCTTTGCTTTGCTTTTCTTAGCTTCGCTTCTTTTCGCTTCGCTTCGCTTCGCTTCGCTTAGCTTCGCTTAACTTCGCTTTGCTTCGCTTAGCTTCACTTTGCTTAGCTTCACTTCGCCTCGCTTAGCTTCGCTTAGCTTCGTTTAGCTTCACTTGTATTTGCTTCTCTTAGCTTCGCTTAGCTTCGCTTGGCTTCGCTTCGCTTCTCTTCGCTTCTCTTCGCTTCGCTTCGCTTAGCTACGCTTAGATTCGCTTAGCTTCGCTTAGCTTTGCTTCGCTGCGCTTAGCTTCGCTTTCCTTAGCTTCCGTTCGCTTCTCTTAGCTTCGCTTAGCCTTGCTTCGCTTCGCATAGCTGCGCTTAGCTTAGCTTCGCTTCGCTTCCCTTAGCTTCAGTTCGCTTCCCTCAGCTTCACTTTGCTTCGCTTCGCTTCGCTTAGCTTCGGTTAGCTTAGCTTAGTTTCGCTTAGCTTCGCTTAGCTTCGCTTAGCTTCGCTTCGCTTAGCTTCGCTTAGATTCGCTTAGCTTCGCTTAGCTTCGCTTAGCTTCGCTTAGCTCCGCTTAGCTTCGCTTTGCTTTGCTTAGCTTCGCTTCGCTCCGCTTCGCTTTGCTTCGCTTCCCTTAGCTTCGGTTCGCTTCCCTTAGCTTCGCTTCGCTTCGCTTCGCTATGCTTAGCTTCGCTTCGCTTCGCTTAGCTTCGTTTAGCTTCGCTTGGCTTTGCTTCGCTTCTCTTCGCTTAGCTTCGCTTAGCTTTGCTTAGCTTTGCTTAGCTTCGCTTCGCTTTGCTTTGCTTCGCTTAGATTTGCTTAGATTCGCTTCGCTTCGCTTTGCTTAGCTTCGCTTCGCTTTGCTTCGCTTCGCTTCGCTTCGCTTCGCTTTGCTTCGCTTAGCTTCGCTTCCCTTAGCTTCGGTTTGCTTCCCTTAGCTTCACTTCGCTTCGCTTAGCTTCGCTTAGCTTCGCTTCGCTTCGCATAGCTGCGCTTAGCTTCGTTTTGCTTCTCTTAGCTTCGCTTCTCTTCGCTCCGCTTCTCTTTGCTTCTCTTCGCTTTGCTTCTCTTTGCTTTGCTTCTCTTTGCTTCTCTTCGCTTCGCTTCGCTTAGCTTCGCTTAGCTTCGCTTCGCTAAGCTTCATTTTGCTTAAGTTCACTTAGCTTCGCTGAGCTTTGCTTTGCTTCGCTTAGCTTCGCTTAGATTCGCTTAGCTTCGCTTCGCTTCGCTTCGCTTCGCTTCGCTTAGCTTCGCTTAGCTTCGCTTAGCTTCCCTTCTCTTAGCTTTGCTTAACTTCGCTTAGCTTCGCTTCGCTTCGCTTAGCATCGCTTCGCTTCGCTTAGTTCCTCTTAGATTTGCTTAGCATCGCTTAGCTTTGCTTCGCTTCGCTTAGCTTCGCTTCGATTCACTTTCCTTAGCTTCGGTTCGCTTCTCTTCGCTTCGCTTCACTTCGCTTAGCTTCGCGTCGCTTCGCATAGCTTCGCTTCGCTTAGCTTAGCTTCGCATAGCTTCGCTTAACTTTGCTTTGCTTCGCTTAGCTTTGCTTCGCTTAGCTTCGCTTCGCTTCGCTTCGCTTCGCATAGCTTCGCTTCGCTTCGCTTAGCTTCGCTTCGCTTCGCTTAGCTTCGCTTCTCTTAGCTTCGCTTCGCTTCGCTTCGCTTCGCTTAGCTTCGCTTCGCTTCGCTTCGCTTAGCTTCGCTTCGCTTCGCTTAGCTTCGCTTGGCTTCGCTTCGCTTCGCTTGGCTTTGCTTTGCTTCGCTTAGCTTCGCTTAGCTTCTCTTAGCTTCGCTTCGCTTTGCTTTGCTTTGCTTTGCTTGGCTTAGCTTTGCTTCGCTTCACTTCCCTTAGCTTTGGTTCACATCCCTTTGCTTCGCTTCGCTTCGCTTAGCTTCGCTTAGCTTCGCTTAGCTTCGCTTCGCTTTGCATAAGTTCGCTTAGCTTCATTTCAATTCCCTTATCTTCGCTTAGCTTCGCCTCGCTTAGTTTAGCTTCGCTTCGCTTCTCTTAGCTTCGCTTACGTTTGCTTCGCTTC